TCTTTCCCTCCTCATACCCTTCATGATGATACCCTACATGGAGGTCTAGAGGGAAAGACCCCAGCTGGATCACCAGAGCTCTGATGCATCCAAGTGCACCCCTGAGGCTGGGGACAGCCACCCACTGCCTGAAACAGGGCTGAAAGACCTGGGGTTCACAGCTATATGTAAATAAAGTCACATAGGAGGGAAACAATGCTAGCTGGTAGGAAAGGATCAGAGATGACTATTTTCTCCCTGTACCTATATGGGGCTTATTTCAGCTGTATTTGCATTTTCATTCACTTTCCCTAAATAATGCACAACTTTGAAGAGCAAAGAGGGCCGGGAGTGCCCCTCTACTTCCCACTCAAGCAGGAGCGTGGGTGGGTGGGGAACTGCAGAAGCACAGAGTTCGTGGTCCCAAAAATCCCATTTATACCCATACAAGAACAATCATGAAAGAGAGGCAATTAGGAGCATGTCTGCAAAACCCAAACCATTGCTCTGGGGAGAAGGGCAAGCGACATGGAAGTGTATTAAAAAAAGAAACATGCAGAGACACAAGGCCTTTCCCAGAAATGCATACAGTTTCCCAAGCCAGATGTCTTCAGGAACACGAGTGTTTTATTCAACTTTCAGACTTGGAAAAACTTTGATTTTTAAAAAATTTTTTAAAGGTCTTCTATGCATTATAATTATAGCATATATGTATTTCTCTTTCACATGCTGCTCCATGCAGCTATTTGTGATTCCAGAATTAGAAAGCCATTTTCAACGAGTTTCAGGACTACAGCAAATGCTTACATGAGCCACAACTCACCCATCTTTAATTTCCCTGCCTTCCCTTAGCTATTTTTAGCTGGGGGTGCTCAAACAAAAGCTTTCTTGTGCTCCTGCCCCACTCACATCTTGTCCTATAATCCTTTTCTCATAACACCTCAGTAAAACCCAACAGGACCAGCACAAAATCAGCTTTATATCCTCATGGCAGCAGCAGCAAGAGCGTGCCAAGGAAAGGAAGTCCTTGTTTCACATCAGGCGACTTTGCTCTTCTCAGAAAAGCAGAATTTGAGAACATCTTATTACATGAAGCAGAAGTGAAAATACAGCCTGCAAACAGCCACCCCCTCCTCCCAGTGAGCTGGAGGGAAGCCACCCTCGCTGCAAGTGAGGCAGCACACCTCCACCCCTGGGAGAAGGCACCAGTGCCACCTCCTGACTCAACACAGGACCTCTACAGTTTGACTCAGAGCACTCTCATTCTCCATCCCCTCAATGCGGAGGGCTTCGTATGTCCCACCTGCACTGATCTACCCAGTGCCAGCTGTGCAGCAAGAGAAGCTTCAGCCTAACTCCTGCCTGGAGATCTCAGAGCACTGCAAGCCACTACATGCTCCAGAATAGCGTAGACAGCACCGCTCTTACCTTGTCTGTGATGTCCTCTTCTGTACACTCCAGCATATCCCGGTAAGACCCCTCCATCACCCCCACAGACAGCGCACTCGTCTGATGCAAGTGTCTGTAACAGAGACAAACCACCCCGACCCACAGCAACATGAACATTAGAGCGAACATTGCAGGACATGGCAATGTCAGATGACAACTGCTCTTGCAGGATATGGTCCTCTCTCTCCCCTCCTCAGCTGCCACCTCCTTTTCCAAGGGGACTTAATAGCACTGCTCCTTCTTGGGCTGCAGGATTTACAGCAAAGGATGGCATGGGCCAGGTCCTTCTCATCACCACAAGCTCCAATGGTCAATGAAGCTCACCACCTCAGTGTGCCCAGATAACAGGGCTGAGCGGGTGGCTGCTTACCAGCTGAACAAATGCGCCCTGTGAGGGAAGCACAGACGTGGACACTTGCTGCTGGGACTTCATACCATGATCATTTGCTCTTGCTCTTTGGAATGGGAAGAGATAAGAGCTCACTCTCTTCACTTTCTTTATGAACATACCAAGGCCATGTGTTATCCAGCACAGGACAGAGTACTCCGCTCTAGCCACTGATAAGGTTAATAAGAAGCGTGGGGCAGTGGGTGTAAGAGGAGGGAGGGGAGAAAAAACCCTTAACCTGTTGCAAAGCACCCCAGCCCACTTCCCCACACCAGCCACGACACCGGAGAGCAAGCTAATCATTAGCAAGGCCTTGCAACATTGGTGTCCACAGCTTTGCAGCGATCTAAAGGACATCCCGTGAAGGGGCTGATCTGTACTTAATCCTCGTGTTATCACTGCAGATCAGCTCCATCGTCTCGTGGCACAAGAAACAGCTATTGCCACAGGGAGGGGTTGTTGTATTCCAGCTCTGTGAACCCCAGGCAGATGCTGCCTGGAGACAACGATTCTGTTCTCCCACTGCAACACAAACAATAAGCAGCCTGAACTACCTTTGAAGCTAGCACTGCTTGGAGCAGGATGTGAGTGAGAGAACCACAGAGGTCTCTTTGAACCTCAGTTTTCCAAGGAATTTGTAATGTGGGCTGTCAAATTCACCCTGCTACACAATATGCTCATGCAAACATTCATGAAGCATAACTGGCATTTACCAAAGAGACCACAGCCGAGTACCAGCCTTATTTTGCATCCTCACCCTGAGTATATACTTAGATCCTGAAGTGTCGGGCACATTTGTCATTTAAATCATGCCAAGCACAACAGGGCCTAAGCAGCTGAGACTTCTTGGCACAAGCAGAACCTGGATAACAAAAGTCAGGGAGGAGCCCTTATCAAAATAAAATCAGTTTCCTAAAAGCAAGACTTTCGGTATTATTCAGTAATTACAGTATCTGCAAAGGGCTTTCTTTGGGCTGATCTTAAATATCTGGCTCTACTCTACAGTAAAACCCTGTTGCCTCTGTCATTATCACAAACTAAACTCGACTGCTCTTGAATTAACCAGTATTTACCTAAGCCCACAAATCCCAGCCTCAGAAAAGCATCTTACAAATGCAAAGGCCCAGAAGGGCTCAATCCCCCATAGTCAGGGCATCTCCATTCCCAAAAGTTTGACTCAAATCCTCCCCAAATTTGTTCTGCCAGACACAGGACAAAAACTAGACCTAAACCAGGAAACCTGGGGACAGGCTACTCCCTTCAACCTTCTTTCCTGCCAGTGTTTTTAACAAAGATCTAGAAAGTAAGATGACAGGAACTAGGAAATGTAGTATCAAGGACCTGCATCCTTGCCAGGAGGGGAAATTGTGCCAGGGGAGACTTGTTGACTGCAGGAAAAATGGAGAAGGGAAAGGTGTGAGAGCACAGCTGGGAGAGAGAGGCATACAAAGCTGCTCGGGTCAGCAGAGGGTGCAGATTGAGCGCCAGGGCATGGGGGTACAAGCATCACCCAAAGTGAGCTGCCTATTCCTCTGCAGCATCCCTGTCCTGCTTGGAAACGAGCAAAGAGAAAGCCACGGATGGCAGAGGGCAATCTCCCTCCCGAGCAGGGCAGAGGCAGGCAGGACAGCTAAGGTAAGCCTCAGTATATTTTTAAAAGCATGACAACACAGGAATAGGAGGGTTGGTGAAGCTGAGAAAGGAAAGGTGAACATCAAGAGGGGATGGACCATCCGCCCCAGCGATTCAGAGCAAACTGCAGCTTTTCCTGTGCAGGCAGGGATAAAAATGCCTACAAAGGGTGACTGGCACCGCATGAGATGATCCCACAGGACAGAAGCAGCACAGCATTAAACCCCACAGTGGGGTTACCTGCAGTTGCCCCCCAGGAACTCCCTGAAGCTCCTGATGGAGCTGGGAGGGCTGCTTCAGCAAAGTCAAGTGCCAAGGATTACACCGAGCAAAGTAAAACAGAGCCAAGAGAGTTGTCTAAGATGACTAGCTTTTTTGGGGTGCTGAAGAAATCCCTCCGAGCGGATGCACTGACTGGTCTGGTCTTCCAGGGACCCACCACAGTGACACTGGGTAGGAGACAGCCCAGCCAAGCAGTCCAGTGGGAGAAGCCCTTCTAGAGACTCCTTCTCTGCTCCATATGCCCCCTGCTAGGGCACTTGGCAGGATAGAGCGGAGAAAGCACCCCTACTTTTGTCCTGGAAGAAATCAGGTTGACACCAGCCTCCAGCTGCGTGCACAAGTGACAAACCTCCATTTCAGAAAAACAGCTATTGCAAATTATATTAGAATTAAACCTGCTTTCCCCCAGTGCTATGCAACATGTCCAGAAGTACAACACCGCAAACTTATTTTGACAGCCTTCCTTCCACGGGCCCAGCAGCTAGCACAGGCACCCCTCTCATCAAGCAGTTATAGGACTATGAGCTTACCTTGCCACCTTCTTGCTTGAAAGTCTTTTATTTGGACTGCAAAATGAAAAAGAAACAGGAAAGAGTTAGGAAAGCTGACAGTGGAGAGCAAGGGAAACAGGAAACTGCAAACACTCTGGGGCACATCCTTTGCTATGGCAGGGGAGCGTCCACGCAGCATGCACCACCCGCACAGCCTGGCCACCCCTGGTAAAAGGCAGGCGAGGAAACCACTCACATATTTAACAACCCATTGATAACAAACCAAATGGAATAATGCTGCAGAAAACCTCACCAGCTCCAGCAACGGTATCCTCTCACCGGCAGATCCCTGTCCTGAAAGCTGATCCCCAAGGAAAGTGCTAATAATAGCAGTGAGTTTGGTGGGCTTCAGCCCGGCGCCAACAGCAGACCGAGCTAAATCTCCTGCACCCTGCAGCACCCTAGCCCTCCCTCCCCTGCCGCCCCCCAGGGAGCTCCCTGCCCGGCAGCTGGAAGACAGGGCACACCTCCTGCCTGCAAACGGGCACTTCCATCCTTCTGCATGCTGGTTAGCACTTCTCACAAAGATTACTCTCACTGTTTGGCTCTGGATCACCAGAGAACTGCTGCCTACGTGTAGCTCAGATTTTAGGAGCTGTTGATCACGTCCCTTTCTGGATTTTAAGCATGGGCACTGTTATAATCGCTTGAGACAGGTACAAGCTCTCCTTTGCACAGACAACCAACAGAGATCACACACCCCGGCTCTGTATATGCCCGAGCCAGCTGCCACCATACCACAGCGGTCAGGGTTTAGCTAGTGCTCAGCGTGACCCATGGTACGAACAGCTAAGGCTTGTGTTACCCTGCCCCTTGGGATGGGGCTTCAGGCTCTCCCCGCTGAGAAAAAAAAAAAGCCTTTTTCAGAAACGGTTACTTGTTAACATGCTCCTTCCAGTCCTTCAGTCATGATCAATGCAGCTGCATGCTAGTGAAGCAAGCAGTGCTTGGATCTCACTCCTCATCTTCCATCCAAACACACACTGTTGTCAAACAGATGCCACTGGGACACATCACTGATACCAAATCATCACTGAATGATGACTGCAAACACAGCTCTAGACTGAGTGGAGAAGCAGCAGTTGCATTCCCTGATGCTTAGCTCAGTTTAAAGAAAAAAAAAAATCTGGGAGTCTATTCCTGCCTTGAGCTGCAATGATTACATTAGTTGGTAGAAGGAGGAATTAAGAATAGCTCCAGACAATTTTCTTTTTAAAAAACACAATGACCAACAGGGGTTGTTGTCAGGGTTACCAGCCCTCATGTCAAAAGGGCATCTTCAAACCACAGATTTCCAAGGAGTGCAAGAGCCGCTGCTGGCTGGGCTTCAAGGACTCTCGGCATCCGCCTGAGAGGAGGAGGTCAGGCCCTTGTGTTTGCCAGCAACTGTAACGAGTCACATATGTCCCCCAACACCGGAGGGAGAAAAAAATATTTTTCTTTGCGAACAGCTTATCAGAAAGCAGTGCCGGCACCTGCAGGTCTCTCTGGAAGGGATCAGACACACCACCGCTGCTTCAAGGGCGCTAAAACAAAATGTACTTTCACAGAACTGGTTCATCCCAAGCTCCTGGTGTATTTCTTCCCTGCCTTCCTGTGCTGCAGGCTCAAGCAGCAGTGCCCTGATGCTGGGACCAGGCTCCCCACCTTGTTCCAAGTGTAAAATGCTGCATATACACCTGCAGTCTTTAAGAGCAAGTCTGTTACACAGTGGCTTTGGCTTCACCCCAGCTGCTAGCGTCCTCTGGAGCAGGTGTCTTCAGGCTTCACCTGCCAGGCATGGTGCAAGGCTGCCTGGCCCAGATTTTGGTCCAGTTTCCCCTGCTCTTTTCACCTACTTGTCCCCTGCACTGAATGCTTCATGTTGCTGGTTATGCTGGGAGCAAACAGGTCCTGCCACGTCCTGCATGTTGCACAGGACACCTCTCACGTCCTCACCGCTGAAAGGGTGGGCGATGCCCCTTCCATCAGGTCAGTGCACAGGGCCACTTGGAACAAGTTTCCAGCAAATTTGTGCACAGGAATCCCTGAACACAGATGGAGGAATCATACCTACTTGCCCTGAGCCCAAAGGGGCTATAGAATTCCCATCGCAACACTACAGGACAGGGAAGCCTCCTCTGGAAATCCCATCCATCACAAGAGGCTCAGAAGTGTTAATTCAGATTTGCAGGTAAATTTGGTGGAGAAAGCCTGAAATGGAGTGGAGCTACTGGTACATCCAGGGAAGTCCAGTGTTGTTCTTAATAAATGCATAACCTGAGACCCATCACTGACCCTCAAGGCCTCCAAACGCAAAGGCAACTATTTGCCTGAGAAAGATAGAGGGAGAGAGGTACTTTTTCCACTAAAAAAAAAATTAAGGTCAAGCTCCTATTTGTTTTCCAGTTCTCTTCCCATAGCTATATAGCCCAGGAAAGCTCCCATGTCACACTGTCCCTGTAGAGGACAGATAGAGACCAAGAGCATGACCAAAAACGAGGCCTGCAATAGCACACCAGACACAAGCAGAATGATTATCATTAATGCCACCATCCTTCCACCCAGTGGACTGCAAACAGGTCTGAAAAAACAAACAAATAGAAATCCCTCCCCACTTGTCAAATCAGCAAGTCCAGCTCCTGGCTGGTAGACCTCAAACATTACATTCAAAAGCTCATGAAGTTCCTATGCAAAGGCCCCGGCGTTTATCACATCTACCTGGCTCACAGTGACACATAGGTGGGTAGGCAGCTGGTGAAACTGGGTGAAACACAATTTTACTGCTGCAAAGCAAGAGTCTACAGGAGAGGTCCAAGCCACAGTGAGCAAGCTGATGTTTTCAGGTTACTGCTGCAGCAGGAGGACAGGCCCTACCTGCCCTTCCAGGTTGAACCAGCAACTCAGGCATGCCTCCACACTGGGCATTATCAGCCAGAAGACCTGGCAGTCTTTTCCTTGGTGACAGAAATACTGTACACGATTAGCTTACAGCTTCAAGTCACGATGAAAGGACTACATTACTCGGAGCGTAGAGAAGCACCCACCACTCAGCAGGACATGCAAAGAGGCTGCCCAGAGCAGAAGGGAAGACTCTCATTGTCTGCCAGCCTCTATGGCTCAGATTAAAGGAAACTTCTGCTCACCCTCCATAATGTTATTACAGCCTTTACCACCTGGAGAGGCTCACCTCATTCGGTGAAATTCATCGCCTTTCGCAACCAGGAATCAGGCAGTGCACCAGCAAAGGAAAGCTGTGCAAGAAAAGGAGAGTCTTCCCTTCAAGAACATCATTCCCAACACTGAAATGGTCATACACAAGCCCAATTACCTATTCATTTCAAGATCATTCAGGCGAGCAGAAAGATCGTCGAGGCGGTTGATTTGTTTGTGGCACTGGCTACAGTAAAACTCAAATGCTTCATCTGCAATAATGCTGTGCAGTTTCGCAGCGAGCGGATTGGTGCTAGAGAAATCACAAGGGTCATTTTAACAGGACAGAATAGACAGGACTGATTTTCGTCCATGGCTTCCACAAGCTGAGCATATGTTGGGGCAGGGGAGCTTTTGGTGTGAGATGCAAGACTTGCAAGTAGAAACTTCAGTGCAGATGGGTCACCCCCCACCTTGATTTTAGAAGCCAAATCACAGTCAATATGGAGTTGCTATAAACTAGCAGGACTTCTACCACCCTCCTCCCAGAGACTTACAGCAGCTGAGCTTGGCTTACATTTCCAAATGCCTGTGCCAGACGGTTCTTGTAGAGGACTCCAAGAGCCCAGGGAAGGTGAGGTGTATGCTTTCCACAAACCTACACAACTACAAAGCTTATTTTCTGACATGATTTTCCAGGCAACCTGTCTCAGGAGGCTCAAGCAATGGTCCTGGTTTGCCTCAGTAAATGCAGACCAAATTCACACACCGCTGGACTGGGTGCCATGAGCAAGAGCCAAATCCTTTGGTCAGTTGCGCTGTTTTCCAACAGGATGCTTTAAAAATAGAGTATCTGTGCTGCTGCAAACCCACCGTTAGTAATGCAGAGAGTCAATTTTCATTGCAAAGAGCTCCCCTTTTAAGCTAAGCTCAAAAAGGTGGTTGTGATTCAACTGCTGTCTCCTATGAACTGAAGCACACAGAAGCTGAAGCAGCAGCTTTACCTCATTGTAGGAAACATGGGGGTCAACAGCCTGGGGAGCTAATGGGTCCGATCAGCGTTTCATTTTCAGCTGCTGATGTGGAAAACAAGCTGCTGAGGCATTCACCAACACTTGCAAAACAGAGAGCCATTTCCCCCACCTGACATGACTTGGGCAGGACAGAGTTTGGCCAAGGGATTCTGAACAGCAAAGAGTTTGTGTTACTTTGGGGTCAAATATATGCTACAAATCCTTTCTGCAGGAAAACGTGCTTCTGGATGCCATGGACTTTAATCAAAGAAAGGTTAATAGTGAAAAAACAAAGCAGTTCAATAAGAAAGACAGGTAAAAGTGTGAGCAAACACAAGCAAGCTTAAACCCAAAAGGCATCTGAAAGGGCTAGTCAACCCCATGATACAGATACACACTGGCAAGTCCTGGACCGGGCGATGCTGAGCGTGTGGGACACCCCAGAAGGGATCCCCTGGCTCAGCAGCTTTGCATAAGCCCTCACTGACATTTTTTGGTGGCAGTGGGGTGTCAGCAGCCCAGCTACCCCCAGGGTCAGGCCTCTGAGTTTGTGCTGTCTGTACAGTATTTCCAAGCCCCCTTAGAACAGGCAACTGGACAACAGTAAACACCAAACTGCTCATCTCTTCCCATTCCTAGAAAAAAAAAAAAAAAAGACAGCCATTCCCCCTACCCTCTAGGGCACATTTGGACCCAGGATAATCATCATCCACCAGCAGACAGTTTGGTTGCTCAGGCTTTGCACAGGGAAGAGGTGACAGAAGCTTTGTAGCACCTGGAAGAAGTGATGTGCCCTTTCCTGGGCTCTGCCCCCACGCCTGGCTGCACATGAGCCCCATTCAGTGAGTCTTCCCCACCCCTGCTGGGAGGCAGAAAGAGTTTACCCAGCTGGGTGCATCCCTGGGTGAGGTGTGAACCCAAATCTAACAAACATTAATCAAAACTGGAAAAGAAGCGTAGAGGAGAACCCACAGGCCAGCCTGGCAACTCTTTGGGTATGTACAGATACACTTGGCCTCTGGCTGTGTTGGTTGCTTGCCTGTTGAGTGGGCGAAAGCTCAACTGCACTGCACCTCTGGGCATCCCCACCTACCCCTCCTGGCAATCTGCCACCCTCTGCGCCATATGCGGCCTTCCTGCCTCCTTCCTCCATCTCACAGAGCAATGTTCGTCTTCCACAGGTCATCGGTGCTTACTGACACAGCACGTCTGCAGCTGAAATGGGTGTGTGCAAGGAGCTTTTCCTTTCAGTTGCCGTTCATTTCCCACCAAGAGTTGCAGAGATAATTCTCTTACCAGACAGATGTGCCAGGGAAGAGGTGGTAACCCAAGAGGAGGAATCGCAAACACACACGCAAGGACTAAGCGGGAAAATGCAATACCCTATAGTGTTCCCTGAAGGCTCTTGTTTCTTGCATTAGTCCTCTGGGGAAGATCTGGAGCTGTGGCAGGAAAATTTGTTGATGCTATTCCTACTTAGAGACCCTTGTAACATCGAAAGGGTACGTGGTGATGTGACCGTTTACAAGCAATATTGTTCCTCAAACCACAGCCAAAAATAGGTTCAGCCTGAAACAGAGATATCCTGTAGTTCTTTAAGGTTTCACTACATTTAAAACGCACTCAGGAGGCAGGGCTGTGTTCAGAAAAACAGCACAATCTCAGAGAACAGTCAGCTAAGAACCTTCACACACGCAACGATAATCCAAGGCAAGGGCTAGACCTAAAAGGCATGAGGAAATCCTGTTTCAAACAGAACCACATTCTTAACTCTGGAGGTTCTGCAGCATTTACCTGCAGCCTGCCTCCCTAGCAAGCCCAAGTAGCGAGTCTCCAGCACAGCCACCATGAGCTGTGTGGCCACGTGCCGAGTGAGGCCCTCCTGGCAGAGGAAAGATGCTGCAGAGCACTATCTTGTGGATAAGAGCCAAAAAGACAGAGAAGCACAGGGGAGACTGCCCTGACAGAGCAAGACTTGAACACCGGGAGCGTAGGCAGCCTGGGAGCTCCAGATTGATATTAAAGAAAGTTTAACTGATCGCAAAGCTCCTTTAGCTGAGTATTTTCTTGCCAGGAGCCTTCTGGACTAGGTCAGAGGCCCACACTCAAAGAGAAACTCAAAATGAACACCAAGTCTGGTTTTTATCCGAGAGAACTTCCTATGCTGCAGCACCAGTACAGCCAGCCATACTCAGCATTTCTGCACAGTGCAATCAAAGGACAAGCATGGGTGAGTGACATGTCCCTTCTACTGCAGTGTATCCCATCACATCAGACACTGGAGCACTGGTTTCCTGAAGGCGTGCTTTAGGGTTAGGGCATGCTTTACAGCAACACTCTCCTATTGCAGGTTTAGTTAACATCTTCGGAACTGTTGCTGCACCAGCAAAAAGAGAGTCAGCCCTGGCCTGCAGCAAAGTGCACATGTGGAGATTTGACAGCAGTTCTCCCCTCTCAGCCCTGTGCAACCAGGATTGCCCAAACTCTAGGGCTTTGGGAAGCTGGTAGAAAACAGGCAGACAGAAAAAAAAAAAAAAATTACAACAGGTTTACACTGCTGCAGAAACAGCAAGCATGTATCAGCCCAAAGGAAAAAAGTATCATCTTATCTTCAACACAAGCATGTGGCTGGCAGGAACCACTCCTGCCTCGTGCAGAGATGCACTGCCTGGAGGAACACGTCCCCAGTGTTAGCAGTCATCACAGAGACTTGTGGGCTGCAGCAGTGGTTGATTATTCCAGCTTTTACTTTTTTTTTTTTCCTTAGAAAGTACTGTCATACCAGCTCCTCAGTTCACCCTGCATGGGCTGGAAAACCAGCATTTGCCTGGTTTCAGACCCTAATGCAAGGAGTGCAGGAAAATGCTACAGCCTGCTTCTTGCTCCACATATCCCTTAGGCTGCCTAGAGAAGGAAAGCTGCCACAGCTTGTGCAAATCCATCAAAGCATCATATCAAAGCCAAACATACAAGCACACGAGAGAGAGAAAAAAATTGTCATCCAACAGGACCAGGGATAGTTTTCTCTACCAGAAGGTTCTGTGAGGAGCCACACCCCTAACAGGAGTGGGAACATGATGTTGCCCTGGACGCACGTGAAACACAGACTGCTCTTCTACCTTACTGCTGGGCATTAGTGCCTCTGGATGGGAGGGTGGGCAATGTTCACAAAAAGGAAAGACTGAGGGAGGCAACTACTCTCCCACTTCTGAGCCGATTATCCCGTTGTATCCAAAGTTTGCCAGGAACCCTCTCTTGCAGACCAACTGGTGTACAAACCCAAAGGAGACAACTCTCACACACAAAGCTTAGGCAAAGACACTAAGCAAGTGAAACTGCTTAAAACATGGCCAGTGCTGTGCTGAGCATTACCTAGGAGAGAGGAACGAGGAACCATTAAAGCTGCTTTCCCCATTACACAAGCTGTCTGAGAACAAATCTGCTTCATTCCCTTCTCCGTAATCCTCAAAATGCTCCTCTCCGCTAATGACTGTAACGATGGAGTGGCTGAGGTCCGAGCCCAGGGGCAGGTTGTGCGGATGGGATCTGTGGGAACAGAGGGGAAGATATTAGAGGGTGGCCACCACAGCAGCCTTTCCAATCGCATCCAATACATCTGCTTTCTAAATCCCATTTCGGTAGACCAGGGCTTCCTTACAGTGCAATTCACCCTGTGCCTTGAACACTGAAGGGCAGCCCAGGCACTACCGGGAAGTTTGCAGCAATTTTTTTCACAACCAACCAATGCTTCTTCACACAAGCTCCTCTAGTAGCTGCAATGCAAGATTTGGGGGCAGTCAGACTTGCAAGACAGTACCCAGGGTTGGTGGCAAGCCCTTGCATGGCATGGGCGCAACCAAAAGCATAGCAGAAAAAAAGCTCAGCATGTCCCAAACACACCCTAAGTATGTTTTGAGTTACATCGTCAGCCTATGTGCCAGGCTCATGCTTGCTTATTGCTGTATAATCCTATCAAAACCCCAGCACCAGGGTTTAACACTGTGACCTGCCCCCCCACCACCATGACACAAATCCTGGCGGTTTACAGGCAGCTGCCAAACCTGGCAGGGACAGACCCCCTGGCAAGACAAAGGAGCCCTTTCCCTGCTTCTGCTGGGAAAACACTGTATGCACTCCTAACAATCTTGGAGGGGGGGATGCTGTTTCTTGTGTTTTTAATACTGGATCCAGAAAGGCTGTAGTGTGTTAAGCCTCAGCCTAAACCCTGAACACACCCAGCACAGGTCCTGGGATGTCCTGTGCTTTGGAGGGACACAGCTCAGCACAGAAGTCATCATTTCTGTGTCTTTTCACGTGTGCAGCGTTGTATGAAGTCAAGCCACCACAGCAGTATGTGCCCACTCCCAGAGGACTTTCCTGCCCAGGACTGCAGAGGTTTTAAAATTAAGCTGGGGGGAAAAGGCAAGGGGGATTTGTAAGAACCAGGCTGTGAAAGCAGCCCACATGTCTATGAGCCACATGTATGTGTTTGGGGGCTGGGGGAGGAGGGTGCGACTAGCACCACTCTCCTCTCCAAAATTCAATGCTAAAAAAGACTACGTTATTGTAAAACCTGATATTTCAGGCTATGCCTCCATCTTCATCCACTTGCTAGGAGAGGGAAAATGGGGGTATGACTAGATTGCTGTACTAAATCAGAAAGAAAAAAAGATTATAGATAAGCCATTTATGACAAAACCCTGCAACATCTGAAGGATTTGCCCTTACCCTACTAATAAAAACATGTCAACCCTCCAGCCAAAAGAGCAGCAGTTCTCTATTTAACTGCAGACAAATCCAGTACAGCTTGTAGGCATCTGCACATCTTCCTTGAGAAGCACTGTTACTCCTACAGCGGGATCCGTCAGAAACCCATCCTCCCCAGCGGTGAGTCAGACGCTGCACCCAGCAGACCATTGCCAAAAGCATCGGAAATCTCTCCAGGAATAGAAGGCAGGGGGTGGAAATTTTTAACTTGCAAGCAAAACCCAACCCCAAATCTCTAAATATTAATACAGAAGCAGATCTGATCAGGCACCTGGAAACCCTCAGCCAGCGATGCTTTGGGCAATAAATAGTATTTCATACACACCTATTGGGTGCTCTAGCAGTTTTGAGATCTAGAGTCCAATTTTTACTACACATAGCCTAAATAACCACTTAAACTCAAACCATCTAAGGTATGTTGAGCTTTAACAGCTACTGAAAAGCAGTGTTGAAGCTTTGATTCAGTCCACCAGCTGTATTGGTCAGATTGTACTTACCGACTATCCCCTGGAAGGCCTCTGGGCACTAGAGGTGTAAAACCGTTGTCCTGCCTGGGGTTTGATGGCACCAAAACCAGCCCTCAACAACTTGGGAACAAACTTCCAGAGGCTTCTATCTTAAGCCTTCCAAATCTTTAAGCCAAATGAACATTTTCCTTGATTTTTTGGCTATCTGGAATTTGTGCACATTTAACACACCTGGCAACAGGCACCCCTGTGCTTGGACAGAGCACCCAAAGGACACCCAACCTTCCCAGGCCCACCCTGGGAATAGCAGGGAAGCCTCAAGAACAACCTAATCTTAGAAAAATTCCCAAGCAAAGTATTTTGTACCTACAGGCAGGTGAATCTGAAGCACGTAATTTTCCCCAGAGGATGAGTGCACACGCAGGCTGCCATGGCCCCTCCAGAGACCCTCCGCTCAGTGGTCGGGGAGCTCAGCAACTGATTATATCCCAATTTAACTGTCACTGAGCTGAACACGCTTGGGTGAGGAGAGCCTAGCCAGCTAATCTCATTTCTTCCCTAATCCACAGCACCCTTTCAGCCCCGGCAGTGAGTGCCCAGCAGCACTGACCACCCACTGCATCTCTGATGTCCCCAGATGTGATTTTGGGGTAGGAGGGAAGCCCAGTGCTTTCTAAAAGCAACAGGAACTTTAAGTACTCATCAGAGCACCAGGCCTGGGTGGTGTGGTTTTGGCCAAAAAAATTCTGTGCGTTAGCAGACCTTAAGCAGTGACAGTTCCAGAGGCTTCAGTGCAGACCAGTGCTCTTGGGTCACTATTAAAGGAGTTATTCCCTCCCCTCCTGCCTTCCCAGCATCCCAGTTTCACCCCAAAAAAACAACTTTTCCTGCAAAATCTAGGAAATGAGGCGGGCCCAGGAGCAGTTTTGCCAGCAGCAGTTCAGACATGGGGACAAAGATCTTAGCTCACACTTCTGTGCTTCAGGCACAAGTTTAAAACTAGTTATTACAGGAGGTGGTTGCACATCAAAGGGCACACGCATGTTTAGGAAAAACAAGAATACGATGAGTTCCCCTCCCAACTTGAAAATTATATGTTGCATTTTTGGCTTAAGTTATAGATTAAAAACTGCAAGTATTTCAGGTGTTTGGATCATCTGAGAACTTATTTGAGAGGTTAAAGATGCTAATGAGGGTACAGAAGTTGTCCCAAGGCAAGCAACAATTAACTCAAAGAGATTGCCAGGCTGAGCTCCAAAACAGCCTACACATGGTGCATTCTAATTATTATCATTATTCTTAAAGAAGAGCTATTTTGGTCTTGCATGAAGTTACAAATACAAAGAACAAACCAACCAGTTTCAGCAAGACAGGCCCAGCCTACTTTATTTTAAATCCTCAGGCTGCATCTCCCTCAGTCCTTCTCTACTCCCAGTTTCCCAGTTTCCTGCCCCACACAGTTAAGTTTTGCTCCTCACTGTTCCCACTCACCCCTGCTCGGGCTCCTCAATAGGATCTGTGAACTCTGAGTGCACGGTGGAGTCGATGGCACTGTCCGTTTCTACTTCGTCGTGCATCTCGTGATGTACTAGTGTGCTGGTGTCTTCATCCGTGAAGGTTTCGCACTCGCTGTACGTGCTCTCTGAGCCCATGTAAGCACTGTCAGTCACCTCATTTGCCTGTTCAAAAACACAAGAGGAAAAAAATAGGATAGTATAGCTATACAGTTTCATTGCAGAACAGGACAAAACACATATGGGGCAGCTAATTACTGCTGTATTGCATTTCTAAGCACAGAAATCCAACCTCCTAACACCAGCATGAGCCGTACCCCATGTTCAGGTGCTGCTCTGTCTCCAGGTCCAAGGACCAAGTGCCACCCTGGGGTGTACCATGGCCTTCGGGTCGCATATGCTTTGTGGCAGCAGTGTTTGGAAAGCAGGTCACAGAAATATATACTAAATAAGAGTTGGAGGGAGATTTTATTGTGAGCAAGTATGGATTTGTCAAGTCCAGGAGGGATTACCCACTGCTTACTCAGCATTTCTGATCACCATTGCTTACACCCACTCCCTTTTAAGAGGACACATTACTAATCTGAATTCTCTCCAAAAAACACCACTCAAAACTACCAGTTAGCCCTTAAAGCACTTTTTCCCCCCCGTCTAGTAATAAGAAGGCACCTTCCATCCCTCAACAGAAAATAAGCTGGTTTATAAATCTTCATTGCAGCATCTAATTTGCAGAGATTGCACCAGCAGGACACTCAAATCTCCGCACTTCAGCTGGAACAGCATCTTGAATGTTTTGCACTATTTCACCACATCCATTACTTGCAACAGGCTCTACGAAAGAAGGACGATTTCATTTTTTAAGACACTATGCTATGAGCATGGAGAACTGGGTTTTCCCTCCCAGTTCTGTCCCTTAGGCAGGCATTCATCTTCAGTCCTACCCACTTGCTCGTACACGTGGGCAGGGATGGTTCTCCCTGGACACAAACAGTGCTGAGCCTAGAATCATCCTGATGTTATGAAGAGAGCCGTGGGAGCACTAGGAGAAACACCTTCTTCCTAAAGCAAAAGCTCTTGTTACCCATCAAAGTGCCAGTCATTTCCTGGCGTTTACAGGATTTCCCCAGCACATCTCAGAACAAATCAAGTAATTTTTGGCTCTAGGATCTCAATCGTAATGGGATCTGTCAGTGCTGGCGCTGAGCTCCAGCTGATCCGCTCTCATCGGAGGTGTCAGGCAGAGGGACAGGAGCCCTCCTGCCTGGCCTGAAAAAGATGCTCATAAAAAGCCATTTGAAGTTCACCCAACAGGATCAAACTTACTCAGCTGCTGGCTGCACCCACTCCAGCACTGCAGCAGGGCAAAGCAGCAGCATTTTGAACACAGGCACCAACATTGAAGCAAACTTCTCTTCCTCTGCCAGAGAGCACACAGAGCAGCTTTCAGTGCTTTTTCCAAGGGTTTTCAAGAAAACGAGATTTCTCAAAGCCCTGTATTACAGCAGCTGGAAAGAAAATACACAGACATACTATCCTTGTGACAGCAGAATGAAAAGTTACATTAGAGCTGTTCATCCAAAGCAGGGTATGTATACAGCAGGATGGAAGAGTCCTCCTCACTGCTGCAGACATTGCCCTCCAGTAGAAGAGCAGCTTTCGGGGCATGTGCTGTATTTGTACAGCAGGAGAGCAGCAGACCAAGAGAGACAAACGTCCCACTGCCATCGTGTTCCCTAGACTTCGCAAACACTGCTCTCACTGACCCGATTCTCTTCTTTTGGATGAATACTCCACAGCCCAAAGAACTTCTGCAGCTTTCACTGGTGCAAAGTGGCTCAAGATGCAACCAAAGCCTCCTTTTGTTTCACCCACAAATTCCTAGGCTGCCTCAACACATGCAAGACCAAAAAGGGATAGCAAGAACTCGTACAGGTGCTCTAAAAACCTTGAAGGGATGGATAGAGAACTGCTCAACAGCAGTTCTTATTTTATATAGACACTGGGGAGCAGAGCAAAGCAACCCAGTCAACACCCTTGCTTTGCTCCCTGCTGAGTGCTCTCATCAGCCCCTGTGCCAACCAAGCACACTCAGCTGAATGATGGATGAAGACAGACAGGAGCCCCTCTTGTAAGCTTAGCTCAGTGTGCTGGTTTCAGCTGGAATAGAGTTAATTTTCTTCCTAGTAGCAGGCATAGTGCTGTGGTTTGGATTTAGTAGGAGAAGAATGTTGATAACACGCTGATGTTTTTAGTTGTTGCTGAGTACTGCTTATGCTAGTCAAGGACTTTTCAGCTTCCCATGCTCTGCCAGGTGCACAAGAAACTGGGAGGGGGCACAGCCAGGCTAGTTGATCCAAACTGCCCAAAGGGCTATTCCATACCATATGATGTCATGCTCAGTATAGAAACTGGGGGGGGGGGTGGCCAGGGAGCAGCGATTGCTGCTGGGAACTGCAGGGAGCAGTGATCACTGCTCGGGAACTGTCTGGGTATCGGTTGGTGGGTGGCAAGCAATTGCATTGTGCATCACTTGCTTTGTATATTATTATCATTATTATATTGTTATTATCATTACTATTTTACTTTATTTCAACTATTAAACTGTTCTTATCTCAACCCAGGAGTGTTTCTCACTCTTACTCCTCCGATTCTCTCCCCCATCCCATTGGGGTAGGGGGAGTGAGCGAGCGACTGCGTGGTGCTTAGTTGCTGGCTGGGGCTAACCCACGACACCCAGCTTTCACAGACCCATGCTGACCTACAGACACCAGCATCTCTCTAGGACACCAACCTGAAATTAAACGTGACATAAACCTTCACAGAACTGGTGTCTAAAGTCAGCATCAGGAGAAGACAGGGTTGTTCAAGTGAACTTGATTCAAACAGAGGAGAGGCTGCTGCAGCAAACATCATCCCTAGCACGGAAGAAGGTGGCTTTCACTAGCCTTTGAGATAAAAACAAAAGCCTCCTAAAACCCCCATCCACTTTAAAAAGCGTAAGTCCAGCAAGCCTACTTATATACCTAAAGCTGGGGACTTGCTTAAGTGCTTTACTGGATTTATGCTGCACTTCCTAGAAACACCAGTCAGGCTCTTAATGCTTCAGCAGAAGGAGGACGAGGGAGATTTGGAAGAGGAAGTTTGGTCTGCCAGCTGGCTTGCAGACACACAAGGACAGTGCACCATCACCAAGCCGAGCCCAGCAGCTCCCCAGCCTCCAGAGGAAGGCATGCTCAGGCAATTCGTGTGCTTTTCCAAGCTATCTGCAGCATGCGCCAATTTTAGGGAGGCCACGCTTCAGTGTATCAACGTCTGAGTTGCAACACCAGTTGTGTTTTGCTTTGGGGGAAAAAAAAACATCTCCAGCCTGTACCACATGTCCCCAGTGCTCACAGCAGCGACGGGGCTTTTTGCTGGACTGGCATGGCTCTGCTAGGTGGGAAGCAGCAGGGATCCGATGCAGCAGACAGGGCCTGAGAGATGACAGCAGCCATCCGTGTCTGCAGATTTACCTGCATGCTTCAAAGAGATACTTTTTGCCTGTTTGAAAAAGATTTAATGCCAAAACTGGAAATAACTTTGCTTGCAGACTCCAAAGTGCTTTTTCCAAAGTCACCGTTTCCCCCCCCCCTTCCTACTGGAAAAGCTTAAATTTAAGTGTACATTGATGTATTATAATAAGCACAAAGTAAAGACAACTATTGCAAAAAAACCCACAAAACCCAAAAAACAAAAACCCACCAAAAACACCCCCCAAAACACAAACCCAAAGAACCCCAACCCACAAGTAAATTGATTAAATAACACCCTGTCACGGTTACCATTGCTGGCCTTCTCAACATGGAGCATAACCAGGAGCTGAACAGCTCAATGCCCTTAAATGATTTATCTATCAAATTGTTACAAAACATCTTATACACAGGAAACACTGGTACAGACAGGCTGAATGAGGAAGCAACCCTTTAGAGCTAGAAGTAGCCACCAGAACAGTACATTAACTGTCCTCCTTCAGCCACACTAAGTATGTGCAGTGATTTGTTTTGTTTTAAAACAAAGATAACCTGTAAAACAATTTGCAAGCTTTCTTTATATTTAGCAAAGGAGAAGATTTTTTTCCTCTTTTAATACTAGCATAGATGAGATTTCAAATGCAAGAGCCCTATTAAAATTAAACCTACATGGTCAATGATTTAAGAGGCAGCTGAAACTGTAAACAAAGTCTTTCTCCTGAGCACAAGCGTGGAGAACTTTGCTTTACATTTCATCACAGATTAAGTAACTAAACTTCAAGAAAAGATGCAAGGAAGAGACAGGCAAACAAGGGGACTTCAGTAAGGTTATTACCAAACGCCTGATATAGCAAAGCAAAACCAAGCCCCTGTGCCCTGGGCAAAGGTGCAGCTGCAGGTCGCAGAAAGCTCTTTTTCATGGCCTCATGAGCAGTAGGTTTGTGCACTGACCCTTTAAACCCCGCTGCCACACCTCTCGTTTGGCCAAGTTTGCCTTGCTGTGAGCAGGCAGAAAGTAAGCACTTCTTCCAAATTAAAAAACCAAACACGATACACTTAAAGACATCTGTCAGCTTGCGACAGCCAGGCTAGGCTACAAATGCCCCGGCGTACTTGCCAGGAACATCCCTACCACATTCAAAATGGGGTTGGTGTCACCAGTGTCAGTGTATTTTAAGTTTTTATCAAATAAAACATACCCTTAGACGGTTCAAGTAAACCTCAGACCTTAAAACTGGGACACATGCACACACACAGCCCCTGAACTGAAACAGGGTCATGGTTGGTCTGAAGTTCCCATCCCCAACTCCAACAACTCCATGAGGTATTCCCCCAGGTGCCAGACCTGTTTGCCCTGACTGAGCATGACATCAGCCATCCAGGCACATCTCTCTCTGTTCGAAGGTGTTTGGCAAAATGCCAGGGATTTGAAAGCCCAGCAGTAAGCCCTCCTGCTTCCAAAAGGAAATGAATGGATGAAATCAGCATTGGGGTGACCTAACATGTCCTGATAAAATGGGTGAGATGATGAAGCACCTTTAGGAAACTTCTCCAGCAGCAGTTCATCTATTCCAGGCATTTGATTACACACTGGAGTAAAGACCATTTGATTAAACATATTTAAAAGCCACATTGATTAAAAAAAGCTGCTTGAGT